AAATCCTGGTGAGGCTGTAGGGAGAAATGCTCATTGCTGGCAAGAGTGAAGGGACCGGGGAGATGGCTCAGTGGAATAAGCGCTTCCCTGGCAAGCCCAAGGGCCTGGGTTCAATTCCTAGAAAAAAAAAAAAAAAAAAAAAAAAGTGAAAAAAGGTGTAAACCAGTAGAACCGTTATGAAAATCAGCATGAAAATTCCTGAAAAAACTGAAAATAGAAAATCCATTGGTCCTAGCTATTCTTCTTGTGGGTATAGTAGAATCTTCCCAAAAGAGTTAAAGATACCATGCCATAGTGATTATTCATACCCATGTTCAAAGCAGCACAATTTATGATAGCTAAATCTTGGAAACAGCCTATATCTCCATCAACAGGCGAATGGATAAAGTGTGATATTTATACACAGTGGAGTACTTATGTGCCATAAAAGGGATAAGCTTGAGTTATTTGTAGGAAAATGGATGGACCTTGAGACCATATTAAGGAAAGTGACTCATACCCAGAAGCTTAAATACCACATGGTTTCTCTTAAGTGAAAAACCATGTGTCTCCATATCTGTGTATCTCAAAATAGAAGACAGATAATAGGACAAAAGAGGAGGGGGAAAGTGTTATAACACAGTATGGATAATTATTTAAAAGTGTACTTTTAAAAATTATTTATTTGATACAGGGTCTCACTATACAGCTTGGACTCATAGTGATCCTCCTGTCTCAGCCTCCCCACCCCTTGGATGACAGGTGTGCACCACCATGCCCTACTTTGGGGCTGGCTTGACATACCTGCACAGCATGTGTTACCAGGGATTGAACCTGGATCCTAGCACTTGCCAGGCAGATGCTTATGCTGCCAAGCTATCTCCCCAGCCCTAAAAGTATAGCTTGACTCGGTACAATTTTCTTTAATGTTTTATATGTTCTTTGGCCTATTTATCTAGATTTTATTCTGTATATATAATGAACTTTATAAGGTTATATAAGACAATGAATGTCATGTAGAAAACTAAAAGGAGGTGGAGGCCAGATTGGGCAGGGAGAGGGAACTGTAATGTGTTGTATATATAACCCCTACAGGGAACACAATCATGCACTGCTAATATGTACTAATAAATGTGGGAAAAAAGTAAGTGGAGGTTTTTTAAAAATTTAATACAACTGAGCATGGAACAAGGAAATTCTTAATGTTCTATAGATGTGCATTTTAATGTTATATAAAATTCTTTTTACACATCCCTTTTCACCTTTACTTTTTCTCAATATTTTGTCAGTCTGCATTATTTTTCCATCTTCATTTGTTTAATTTCCTGTTTAATTTCCACTCTTTAGAATGGTTCATATTGAGGCTTATCCAGTGCCACGATGATAAATGTGTTTGGGTACTGGGAATCAAATTCATGACCTTGTGCTTGCCAGGCAAGTGCTGTGCCACTGAGTGACATCCCGGCCTGGCCAATGTTTTTTAGCCAGACGGATGGTAGATAAAGATTTGCTTGGTAGCGTTAGCCAGTTTCTGTGTTGTGAGTACTTGCTTTATGCAGGATGATATAATGTCATTGACTGCGGAGCCTGGAGGAGATGGGCACAGTCAGCTTGTATAAGCCAGTGCAAGCTGAATTTAGCATGGTCCTACTTAGCCTGTATTTACTCTTTTATTTCACTACCAAGATCACACATCACAAGTGATTTTATATTTGGTGCTATTCCCATAGTGTAGTTGTTTTTATAATCCTTGTCAGTCTGTAGTATTATCATGGTATTCTAGACTAGGACATTGACTTAATGTGTAACTTTTTTTTTTTTTTTTCTTTTCATAGCTGGGTGGAAAGTTTTGGACGTGAAGGACTTGGATTATTACTAGACATTTTGGAAAAACTGATTGGTGGAAAAATGTAAGTATTGTAAATAATTTTCAGGTAAGCTACATTTATATACTCAATTATAATTCTAATATTGCTAACTTGTATATTAATATAGCCAAGACAAAGTTGTGAAGAAGAATCAACACAAAGTCATTCAGTGTCTAAAGGCCTTGATGAATACACAGGTATGTGCATAGGTAATAATAAGTATGTATCATTACCTGTTCTCAACTGAGTTTGTTTTGTAATGCCATATATATATATATATATATATATATATATATATATATAATTAGTACTCAGTACAAAAATGTATTACCCTATAAATTTTTGAATAGCTGAATTTTGTTCAGCCCATTATTTTCCCAACTAATTTGTAATGTTTAACTTCTGTTTCCAAAACATGAAAGTATGGCTTGGAAAGAATTATGAGTGAAAAGAGGAGTCTTTCCCTATTGGCCAAAGCCATGGATCCCACGCACCCCAGTATAATGACAGATGTGGTTAAACTCCTTTCTGCAGTGTGCATTGTGGGGGAGGAAAACATGTAAGTGTTGTGCATTTGTTCTCTAGGTATAAAATAATTTTTAAAAGTTTGACTTATTTAATATCTATTCTACTTTAGAATTTACACTTATTCTGAGATATACTCAAGCCCTGATTTAGGTCCTTATTTGGTTGAATATAAATGTTTAATGATTTCTCTTAATATGTAAGTCCTGGGATAGAATGTTTCTGTGAAAAAATGATTTCTTCTTAATTTATTTTAAGCAGCTATTTTGAACTCATTCCTGAAAGTTTTAAGTGAAATTGCGAAAT